TTAACCATGGGCAATAAAATCGCATCTCATACCCAGGATGATGAGCTTCTGCTCATTCAGCTCGACATCCTCCCAGAATCGGGCCCATTTCCTTTTCTGAGCTCGAGGCATAAACTATATTTAACAATCTGTTTATGTTGACTATGTTTGCCTTGCTTTATGCTCTGAAGTCAGCAAATCTGTATCTTTTATGTTTGTATTTCAAAAATGACCAGGGAGATGGGGTTATGGGGATTCCAGTTATGGCCGGCCACTCGAGACAAATGTCCTTTTGGACCAAGCTGCTGCTTTATTTTTTGACCAACTACAAAATTATGGTTGGTGGGGAAGGTTTGTGGAATGATGTATACCCTGGGGTGCGTTGGCCTAATCCAGGCATAATAAAATTGATTTTTGTTTTCATTGCGTTGAAAAAGTCAAAGGGTAACGTTGAATGACCCCTTATTGATGGCCTTGAACATTAAAATCGTTCGGCGTTTATTTGTTTTTTATCTTTAAATTGTCATTTGAATACATTTTAGTCCAAACTTTTATAAAATTGTAGACTTAGGGATTTTAATAGATATTTTTGTTGCACCTTTATTTTCTTTAGTTTTTTATTAAGAATTATTTGATCAATAAATTGACATTTAATTACATTTTAAGCCTAACTTTTATAAATTTTAGACTTTAGAAATTCTGTGTGGCTTTTTTATTTATTTTTTTATTTTTCATTATATTATTATTATTTTTACACACATCCTAAGATATTAAATTAAATCCATTACCAAATTAATTTAATGTAAGCATTCATCAAAGGCTTCATCCTAAGACCTAAGATAAATCCTCCCTCTTCTTGTCGATGGCGATAAATGGAAATTAGTCAGAGGATTTGTAACTTGGCCAACGAATTTCGTGTTCAGGCTAATCCGCAAATCTAGTTCCCATTCGATTAGCCAGCATATTTATCACTAAGTGGCCGAAAAGTAGTTTGTCTAGGCCCATTTCCATTCACCATGGCACCCGAACTCGAAATGTTCTCTCATTGTTATGCGTGCTATGCACAATTTTTGTGCTTGTGGCATTGTTTGTTTGTTGCACTTAGAAAACTAATTTTAAAAGTTTTGAGATAGTTTATTAGGGAAAAAATAAAAGAACCTTTTTCTAAGTATATATATTGTATTTTAGGATAAGCAGTTTCTTGAAATATAAAATAATATATATATTTAAACCGAGAGATGTTAAATACTTAAGTTATAATATTAGTCTTTAAAGGAAGCTTTATTTACAATATTAAATTTGAATTTATGTAAATGTTTTTTAGGGAAAATTGAGTGTCTTTTTCGAGTGCATTTTTTTTTTTGAGTGGATGGCTGGGCGTCGAGCACATGCGTGCGATTTATTTGCTGTCACCGCAAACACAAACATCAGCGCAGATAGGCACACATTTGTATATATATGTGTATACACACCCACTAACAATGACTTTCGCACCCTGGGCCAACACTTGGGGCCACAAATTAACCCAAGCACGTAGGTCGCTTAGGAGGCCTAATCAAATAGAAGCGCCCAAATCAAACAACAACAACTGGCGGAGCAAACGCAGCCACACGAAGAGCTAAGTAAATATATGGGCTTCACACCAAAAAATTTGCAGGAGTGCGACTTTCGCCCCCTAAATAAGGTTGAAGATCCTGGGCTAAGCTGGATTCCATTCCATCCTCCTGTCACTCAAAATCTTCATTATTAAATAATTAATATAGTATATTCAAATATATATAACAGAAAAATTTCTTATTAATCCTAATAAAAATCAGAGAATTGGAAAACCAACTATAACTTTTTTAAACCTTACAAAGAGCATTATTATGTTTCTCTGAAAATGTAAAATATGCAATTTAAGAATTTATCCAATATATTCATTTAGATTATTTGATCAAAATGTGTGGATAAAGCTCATTTACTATTCTAAATTATATTTATATTCATATTTTGCAAAAATATTTTTTGTTAAGTTTTTTAGTTTTATTTTGACCTAAAATAAATAACTAATGAATATACGGTGCCATAAATTGTAAAATGTATTATGTGATTCAAATGAACTTTTATAATCAACTCAATTTATTTGTTTTGTTGCTCATTTTATTATTCTGACTCTAGCATATACATTGAAATACTAACATATAGGTTTTATTGTTATAAACAGAAAAAATAAAAAAAAAACAATAAATTTTAAACTCTTTTCTTATACTTTATATATGATAGTTATAAAGATTTCTTTCGTAAAAGCTTTAAAGTGACTGTCTTCTATAAATGTTAAAAGTGATCACTTAACAGTGGCTGTCTAACCAGCTAACAGAGGCTCAGACTGTGGTCATTAACAGCATGCAGTGTACACTGCTTTATCGACCTGCTTTTTTGGCCCGCTGGTGATTAAGTTTCTGTTTCCTTTCCATTCGCACAACACCCATTCTTAAGTGTGCCTCGCCAGCAGGTGGTTAGTGGGTGGTGGTGGGTGTTGGGTGGGTGGGTAGTGGGTGTGGTTGGGTGGCCGGAGGTGGGTGGTCGTATTAATTAGACCCCCCGCCAGGCCGATTGGCCCGCTGATCTCATACAGAGCCGCTGAGTGCTGCGTAAATTGAGTGGCTCTACATGACGAGTGGCGTTTGCGTTGGCCGCCTTTGTTGCCGGTTTGGTTGCCGGTTTTGTTGCTGCTTAAGCTTTCGCCTCGGCTTTGAGTGGCTGCCACTTGAGTGGCGCTAAAGTCGTGGAAAATGAGCCATCAACAGCTGCCGCCCCGGGCCTGTTTGCTCGGGCGAAAGGAAAACTCGGGGTACAGACAAAAAAAAAGAGGTGCTATGTATGTAAATTTAAATAAAATAAAGGGATAAGAAAAAAGGAAAATAAAATATTTTTTAAATTTAAAATAAGCCTTTGACTTTTATATTTATACTTTTCTTTCTATCATCATCATATCATATATCATCTTTTAAGACAAGTTAATAAATTTGTAATCTTGCAACCAGAATTTTTTTTTAATTTCTAGATCTGTGTATTTTTACTTCATTAAAGCTTATGGAAGTTTATCTCGTCGTAAAATGGTTTAAATAGGTAAATTTTAAGACCAAAAAAGACAATTTATTTCAGCAATTCCTTTAAAACTTATAAGTTCTTAGTAAAATAATATATTAAATATTTGTAGAATTTTGTTAAGATTTTGGTGAATTTGGTGTGCCACACTTAAATCTTGTTAATTAAATGCCAATACCTAAAATTAATTTTTAAACTTATTTATTTTATATTATATGTCATAACACTGCTTTATGGCTATATGACACTTGCTCATCTTTTGAATGAACTGCTTGATTTATTTAAAAAAGTACATATCAACATTTTATGACTTTATGTATGGAATCAAAGCATGTTGTCAAACTTTCTGTAGGATAACTTCTTAAATTAAATCCATTAATGAGTAAAATCTTAAGTAAAGCCCTTAAGAAAATGAAAATGAATGAAAATACTTTAAAATAGTAGCTATTATGATTTTTGAATAATTTTAAAAAAGGTGATCCTTTTTTCCAGTGCTGACTGGGGGGAACAGGCAACAGGCGAGCAGTTGTTGACATTCTTTTCAGCCTGGCTGTTGACTAGACGCCCCAGCACGTGCTGTCGCTCCGCTCCGGTTCGTCGCCTCGCCGCCCCAAGTTAGAGCGGGACAGAGAAACGCGAGCGGGACGCAGCTGAGCATGCATATTTCATGGCGTTAGTTTGGTCCCAGGACCTCCCTTTCCGCCCACAATCCTCCGGGCAGAGGAGGTGGATCCACCGGAGCCACAACATCATTACAAACAGCCCGGCACTGGGTTTACTTTGCTGTTTCGCATGTCGTTCGCCTCATTTATTTATGCACAAATATCCCACAGAAGGTGCAGGTGGTGAGGCAGCCACAGAGACACGGCGACAGCAGCAACATCAACGGCAACAGCAGCAACATCCACAGCAGCAACATCACGGAAAGCAGCAACAGCAACAGCTGGAAATGTTCAATTCAATCAGTTTAAATCTCCTGGCTGAGTCGCCAGGAAATGGGAATTTCCCTTATTTTTCTGCCGCAAAAGTTTTTATTTCAGGACTATAATATGACAGTATAAATGTGCTGTATATATATTTTATTGTTCTACGCGTTGGGGGTAAAATATACTTCAAAACAAATTATTTCAAAAAGCAAAATCAGTTTCTATTATAACATTTTTTAAGCATTGCAAAAAGGTATTTTTAATTTTTAAAAGAGAATACTTACAGAAATATTTTAGGAAAGAGCATAAAATAAAATACTCCAAAAATACTTATGTACATATGAAATATTTTATGAAATGCTACCCTCTCCAAAACAGTTTTTAGTTATGGAAATTAAAACCGCTTTACAAATTCTAAGACCTGCTTATATAAATATATGTAAATTTAAATTTCCATATATCACATGCGGACGGCAAAAAGGACCTCATATTATAATACTATGATATTTCCTTACCTTTAGTCGTTAATTATACTAAAGCACACCATATATTTTTAGGAAAATAATGAATCCTGTTACTTGAATGTTTATTTGATGTTGCAAACTAGTAACATATGTCTAAAGCCTACTACCCACTCAGATTCCAATACTTAGGCCCCAAACACATGTTTATCTCCCAAAACTTTGTCGTGACTGCAATGCGAATGTAACTGAACCCAAAAGCAAAGAAATAACTTTTCGACGCCGGCTTTAAATTGTGCTTAAGTATAATATTTGTTTATTTTATTGCACTGGAATGTTCCTCTTACATCTAAGGGTTCTTTATTTTATTTTTACGTATTTCTCTTACGCACTAAAAACAGTGACAAATCAGACCCAGGATTGTGTTGTATTTTTTCTTGGCCTTCCCTTACGTATCGTACTCAAGCTGCCTCGTATTTTGGTTTATTTTCGTCTTAATCTGCGTAAATTGTATTTCATTTGATTTCATTTTCCACCCGCTGAGTGGGTGGTTGGGTGGTTGAGTGGGTGGTTCAGTGGCTCAGACAAAGGGATGCCGCGTGCGCCGCTTGGCCTTGATGGGGTACTCGTAGCCCTCGAAATCGTCGTCCTGGTCGTCCTCGTGGTTGTGGTGGTGGTGGTGGTGGCTCCGGCTGCTGTGGTGCTTCTTCGGCTCGTGGTGGTGCTCCTTGACCGGCACCGGAATGGGCAGCGGGACCTTCTTAATGACCGTCTTCGTGTGCACATGTGTGTGGTGCTTCACCGGCACGTGTATTCGGATCCTGGAAATGGTCGAGTGGTCCATGAACATTGTTGCACAGCAAAAAATATATAAAACAAAGGAAGGGAGTCTAACAATTGCACTCAGAGAAGTTTAAAGCTAATTTTGTATGATTTTTGAACTACATGCATTTTTGATTATTTTGTATTTTAATGGATTTAATTTATTATTTAATTTTGAGCAAGGGTAAAATTAATACAAATCACAGTAGTTCGTCAAAAACTCTTTTAGTTCTTTGGTATTTTTCTAATTGTTCAGTTTCCAGTTCAGTTATTTTTAGCTTGAAGTGCATTTAATAAAAGAAAATAAATTAATAATACTATTTATTTTAAAGCAAGCTATTTCTGTTTTTGTTTATAACTGTGCATTTAATTAAAGAAATGGAGTAATTCCAAAATACTAATCATTTCTAGTATTTTTTCATAATTATTTTGGTATTTTAGCTATTTTAAAAAGAATAGTATTTCAAGTATATAGTATTTTTTCAAATTTAATTTTGTTTATCTCTGTTATTAATTGAGTTCCTCTTAAGAGAAAGGTATTTCTTTGAATGCAAAACATATAATTCCTATTATTATTTTTTGTGTATTATTTCCCAGTGTTGTCGTTAAGGGGGCGTGGCTGGTGGGCAGTTACTTACTTCAGCTTGTCGCTTGATGGATGGCCGTTTGCCAGTGCGAACATCATGCATGTGATGAACAGAAAGCTTAATGCCTGCAACGGAAACAAGTATAAAGATTACGTTTGGGTCGCCAACGTAAAGAGGTTATCGCCCCCTGTTTTTCCCCAAACAGCTCATAAACATCCAAACAATACAATTAGCATAATAATACGCATCCAAGGAGCTCATCTCCCAGTGCTTATTATTATTGGCAGGCGGATCTAACGACTCATCTCCAGATTCCTTCTTATGTGGGCGTGACAGAGGCTGTCAGCCACACAGGAAGGACGATTTGGGCCCGGTCAACACCAAATTGGTCGAGACAAAAGTAAAGAAGTATTTTTATAAATTTGCTCCTTTGGAAACTGAAAGTCCTTAAAAAAGTGGGTCTTAGTTTTTGCTTAATTCAAGAGTTACAAAAAGTTAAGTGATTGTCTAGTCACAAGGCTTAAGATGACCATTTCAGAAAAAGATTCATTTAAGATAAAAATTTAATATATTTAACAATTTAATACATATAAAATTTGACTAAAATTTGCGTTTTTGATTTTTCTTGACAGTTAAAGTTTTAAGATTATAAAAAAAATCCAATTTTAAATTGTAATCTTTATTGTAGGTATAAATTTATGTTTTCATAACTCGATGTTTTAGTAATCAGCTTAATTTAACTCATTTACTAAGCAGTTTATTGACATATTTTCCTCAAGCTTATCACTTGGTTGGGAAAAATATTTATTCAATTTTCCGACCTTTTCACAATCACAAATTAAGTCCCTTTCACTTTGTTGGTCCCTTTACTATTTCACAAATGTGACTTTCCCTTTGTTGCACATTTTCGTTCAATTAACCCGTTTATGGCCAACTTGAGAGTTCTTTTCATGTTTCCACATTTGGCGATCATAAAAAACAAATTAAGTTTTTGTGGTTATTTTCATTTTATTTTTCCGCCTTGTTTTATTCATTTCCCGCGCGATTGGAGTCAATGAATTCGTTGCGAAATGAAAGCTTTTTATTTGCATATTTTTCGTGCACTTAACGCGGTATTATGTTGGGGACTTTCTAAGCTGGATTTAAATTTAAATATTTATTGGTATTGACTCCTTTTTTTTGCATGCCAACACAAATATGTATTTTTTGAATGTTTACGCGTGCCTCTTCATTGTTTGCTCGTTTCGAAAATGTAATTAACACTTACTCCTTGGGGCAAATGCATTGTTATTCGCGATGTTTTTCTCGTTTTCTGTTTATTTTTTGCTATCTGTTAGCTGTTGTTTAATTGGATTAAAAGTGCGGATTTCGGCAAACCATCGTCGACGGGCGTAGAAATGGAATTGCTCTGGGACGCGGCGCCTGCATCCGCTTAAATATGAGGCAAAAAGCAAAGAAAAAAGTTGTGAGCTACAGTGAAACGTGCCACAGACGGCCGCCTTGGCAGCACTTGCAGCCACAGTGCGGTGACGGTGACACGAAGTTGCTGAGTTGGAAACGAAGTAAAAACAAAAACATAATCAACTTGGCCCCAGGAGCCGGCGGAGGGGCGGCGGAAGTGGCCGGTCGGCGGGGTTTTGGCTAAAACTCGGACTCGGACTTGTGGCCATGTTAGTTGCTGTCGACCAAATCAGTCGGAACTGGTCGACTTGCCAAAGGCGCTGCAGTAAGTCAGGTCATTACAATAACAATGGGTAAGTCCAAACATTTTATTTGAATTTGTAAGTGGGCTTAATTGTTTAAAAAAATTTGTTGTAACTTTGCAGTGTGTTTTAGAATACTTAAAACTATAGCTAAAAAAATAAAAGAAAAATTGAATGTAACTTAACAATATATACAATTGAAAACGAAAAAAGGCCAAGCTCAAATGATCCCAATTTGAACATTTGACTTCTTACTTAACCAAAAAGAAACGTTCTTGATAACAAGACGAAGGTGCTCTGTTTCTCGATATAAAGCAGTTTTGAATTCAAGATGAAAGTAATCCCAAATAGGTTTTTCGAGATGAAATTGAAGTCACTTCATCTTGATTTTTTAAAATTTTGGAGATCACAAGAACGTTATTGAGACCGTTTTCTTCTGTGTGAAATCATCAAGACGCAAAAAAAACGAAAACCGCTTAAAATAGCAGTATTAAACTTGTTAGTAATTAAGTTGTATTTATATTTGATTACAAGTAAATGTTATATTTTCTGTAAGAAATATTTAATTAGTTAAGGCTAAAATATTAAAACTGCTTTAATGTATTTGTTTTATTTACCAACTGATTTAAAATTTATTTGGGATGGTATATAATTTTTATTACAATTCCATTAACTTAAGCGAATTGTGATTTAGTAGGGTATCTAGTTATCCTGACTTGATAGTGAAAACAAACGGCGCAAATAAACCGAGCCAAAGCCAAAAAGCAAACCCAGAGTAACCAGCAAAGTCAGACGACAACGGCCATCCAGAAAAACTGAGGCCTAAAGCCACAAGCTCTCGTACCGCCTAACCCCCTCTCGCTCGCACTCGCTATATCCGCCGGGGCGGTGGAAAAGCCGCCGAACATGAAGATACTTTTCCGAACCAAAGTGCGAGAGCAAGTGAGATGGGGCCCCACGTGTAATTGAAGCCTGTGCCTGAGTTAAACGCAGCGATTATGTCGGTCTGCCCGCCTCCAGCGTTCGGAAAATGATGGGGCGGGCCAAAGGGGGAGGGGTGCTGGCGCCGGCAGCCGTTTGCAGTTGCAGTTGCAGTTTTCAGTTTCATTTGGCAGTTTTCACTTGCAGTGGCAGTGGCAAGGATTTGGCCAGCTTCCTGGTTAGGCATTTCGACTCGCATTCGTTTGTCGCAAATTGAGTTGTGCGCTGAAATATGTCGTCGTGTCAACCGCACTTCCACAAAGAGAAAAAGTATCTGAAAGATTCAACCTATGATTGATTGCATCTTTCAGATACTTTTTCTCTTAAGCGTTTACAATTGCCAATTATTTTTTAAATCGACAAGTTGGTGATTTGGGTGGTAATTAATCGGTCTATTAGTCGTAAGTAAGTACTTGTCAGCAAAATGTATTAAATATGATTTATTAAATATGATATTTCAGGGTTTTCGCCAATATTAAATATTGAAATACATGTAGACGATTTTAATAAGTAAAACTTATTTTCTACATGTCTTATTATTTATTCTGACAGCTACTGTGGAAAAATATGCAGATATATATTGAACAATAAATTGGTATATAATATTTGAAAAATAGTTAAAATGGTAGGAGCCTAGGTCGAAAAATAACGATAATGGTAATAATATTTAATATGATCTTAAATCTTAGACATACTTATTAACTTAAGTTAATGCAAGTTATTTATTTATATCTTAACTTATAAGTAATGCTTAGAAATGTATTAAAACAAGTGAAAAGGATAAACAAAATAAGACATTTTAAAATCCACTTAAAATTCATTACGTGATTGTTTTCAAATATTTTATATGTAAAGTTAGTATAGCTTGTTTTGAATATATTTGAAATGTCAATTCAAGATTCGATTTCCTTGCAAATATTTGGATTGGTTATTTAGATCTAATTTATTTTTAAATATTTTAATTGCAAATAAACCAATTTTTTCGCAGTGCACCTGCACCCGCACCGACCTGCATTTGATAGCAATTTAAATGTGCACCGCGATGGCAATCCATTTGATTGGCCATTCTGGCCGCTGGGCCCGAATCGTAGGTACTTTAGCCATAGCCATGAATGTAATGCAGGAAGCGCTCCATTTCGGCCATTTCTACCATTTCAACCAGCTAATCAACTGGTTTCACTGGCACGCCGCGATTGCATAACAATGACAAATCCAGACCGGCACGACACTTGGTCATTGTCTTCGCCTCGATGGCGACGGGCTCATCTAACATCCAACTAGTTTTGGCCTTTCTGGCCGCTTTTTCTGCACTGTTCCGCCTGACATGATATAACTTTGATACCCACTTCCATGGTCTGCAATTGTTGATGATCGAGGAGGAAAGTTTTCTCCTCGCGGGGTTCCATCGTCAGAAGTTGGGCAATTAACACACACATTTTGATGATATAATCATAAAAGCGAGAAATTTGATCGGGCCATTTGACCGGTTCGGGCCACTTTTCCAGCATGATCGCGCAATTGCGAAAAAATGGTCAAAATTAATTGCATACAAAGTGACTCGATTCGATGTGGTTGTTGGTTGACATGGGGTCATTAGCACCACATTCGCGTGGCTAATGGCAACATCAGCTGAAAAGACTTTTCTATTAATAAGCCAAAGAAAGATCGAGAGTGGCGAACAAAAAAAAAATATATAACAGGCTTAACTACATGAGTATTATTAAATCTTCACAAAAATAGTTAACATCGTTGGAAGACTTCAAGTTCATATATATATATTTCATATGGATTATCATAGCGTGGACCTCTTACAAATTAAATTTTAAAACCCTTCTACATCGTCTGTATTTATTACTGAATTTATACAGAGAGCAGTATTAAATTTTTAAAATTGTTGTTAAATTATGTACTACATATACCAAGAAAGCAAAGTAGCCTAACTTCTCGATCTTTATGTTTCAGGAAAACTTTCCCATAAATGGACCATGGCTTCCAATCTCATTTTAGGTAATTTTTCATTTATGCCAAAGGATAAGGAAGTTTTTGTGTTATATCTTGGGCAAGTAAGTATTGTAGAGCATTTTAGATTAAAGATTAAAGATTATTCCTTTAGGAAGGCGGTTCATATGTTACTAGCAAACATATTTACTTTACTTCAGTACTTAAAGGTACACATAACAAGAATTCGGCATATCAATATTGAAAGTATCCCTATAAAAAAAAGTAGCCATGAATGTTTATTTAGTAAGTTTAGAGTATTACAAAAAATTGTTTTTTGGCAGAAGAATATTTTTAATATTTTAAAAAAGAGACAAACTTCTTTTGAAATACATTTTGTAGTAATCTTAATTAGTAATAGTAGTAGTAATTTATAATTTTATAATTTATAAAAAAATTGACCAATGTCGAATACTTCTCGGAGTGTACTTAATTTATTTTACCTGTGTATCTAATGTCAATATAACTATATCGACTTCTAGAGTTTCAAGAAGTTCGACTTTACTTTTTGAACTAAAGACGTGGCTTGCATTATGCATTTTATATTAAAATTCTGTTAACTTTTCTGAGTTTTACTGCAAAAGTGTAAACCAAGTTGAAATGTTTATGTATATTTAATATTTGGCACAAGGCCAGGGCGAACTTTTCGCACCCTGACCAAAGATGAATATTGGAGATGGCCAAGAGCGAGGCCGCCAATGCAAACGAAAGTGGGGCTGCCAAATTTGCTTAACCTGTTGTGCCCGCGGCCTTTCACTGCGGAATGGATTGGCCGGCCCAAGGATTATCCAACCGAAAGCCAAAGCCCCGGAAACCGATACATCTGGCCAGGTTGTCTCCCCACTTCCTTTCGCAATAAATTTTCACTTAACTATGTCGATCAACGCCGCATATGCGAATGCATGCAGCATGCAGCATGCAACATGCAACATTCATGTGCAACATCACCAGTCACCCCTTTTCCGAGTTTTCCCGACTTTTCCGACCACCACCCCATTCCGGTGGGTGGGTTTTTGGGTGGCTGGTTGGTTTACTATTGTGTGTGACACAATTTTCCAGTTTACCAGTTACGCCTCGTAAGTTTAATTGACGGAAGCGCGTTAAAATTGCAGAGCCAAACCAGTGCTAAATGAAATAAAAAACATGCTTGGGGAAAATCAAAGTGGAAACAAAGTGAAAATTTATGTATGCATTATGCATTTGCATACGCCAGTCGGCAGCCGCCAGAGTTTCCCGCTTCATTTACCCATTTGTAATTGATGACCATATTAAAGAGTTCGATTCGGATTAAGCCTTACTTTTGACCAGAAAACGAATCAGGTTTCGAAAGAAGGAAGGCTGATATAACGCTTTTCACACGCTTTTCCTTAATTAAACAAGTACAAGTTTTTATTATGTAGCTATAGCTATAAGTGGTGTTAATCACCAATTAATTTTAGCATATGTATCAGAGGAATTTTCAGACTCGTAACTGATTAAACCAAATATTTTAGGTTGGCTAGTTAATATATATGTCTCTATTTGTTGTAGAGCCTAGACAACTTATTTTTTTTGTAAAAGTAGGTATATTTAATTAAATAATGCCTTTGGGTTAATCGAACTA